GATTTACCTATTATTACCAACCTATTAATTAGTTATTATACACTACAAAATACTCATATTATATATATTTACCTCTCAAGTCTCCAATGCCGTCCCCATTGCTGTCTTTAAACGATCTTGGATATACTTGATAAATGACAGTGTTTTGCCACCAATCCAATTCTTCAAGTTCTAAAGAAGTTAAATGTAGTTGTACTTACCTATAGTATATTTTATGCATAAAATTAAAAAAATAACTTACCAGCATTTGTACTAAACGCGGTTGTTATTAAAAAAAAAAGTAACGCGGTTGTTATTAAAAAAAAATATAACAAAGGTACATCATAGTGTCGGGGCAATCGTCTGACGACTAGTGTGAGCATTTTTGGGTATATGTACGGTTATATAGTCTTGTCCTTGACCTTACAAGTGCGTTAAAATATAGGAAGGTACCTATTAAATTATTTACTCGACTGTCATACTGTAATAGAGGACTTGGAAGGACAAATAGTAAGTTGCGCAGTCAAAATCATGTGTTTATGTTCAAATAGAGTTACGAATCTAACGCAAAAATAATGACGAGTTAGCCAAATAGCAGTCACTTTAAATATTTAGTTTTCACAACTAAATTATATAATTAATTTATGAGTAAATATTTCGAAATGATTTTTTTCATTAGTTCCAAAATTGCATTTCTATTTATTATGGTTCGCCGGAATACAAATCAATATTAAGTTGGTTTTGTATAAATATTTAATTTCTATGTTTGGTTAACCATTTATATGTTACACAACAATAAATAATAATTGATTGCATGTTTAGATTTCTTAATAGGTTTTCAAATACTGACAAGTATTCATCAAGACTAGGTAGTTATATCTAAACATGTTCTCTGAGGATCAATAATTATTAAAAAACGGTAAGAATTTAGGTACGACTATAAATAAATATTAAAACAACTCCCAATGGGTACCTCTATATATTACACCCAAAGATTAAAGTGCCTAAAATGATGGTTGGCCTCAGTCACTTACGTGTTTTGACTTTTGAGGTCAAGCACCAACTGGGGTCACTAACTCTCGATTAGATGACCAACCTGGGTTTTTAGTGACAATTCCTTGCTACTTATTACACGTGTTCCAATCGTACCCTTCCTCACAATAGGAGGCGACAACAAGCTAATAACCATTTCTGTTTAAGCCTAAAATTTTTAAATAAAAAAATTGCATTGTTGTACACAATTATATACATAAAAGTAAATAATTTAATTGCATGATGAATATTATATAAGGGCATAATAAGTCTACTGTTGATACGTTATTTTTGCTTCGTATTCGTATAGCTTTTTTAGAAAGCTAGTAATAACTAATCCTAAACACGTGTGTTGTTTGAGTGTATTCACTTTAACTTTATGGTTTCCTCAATAATAGAACCTTTCGTAAGAAAAATTGTTATTATATTCGATGAAAAATATAATTTGAATATCTTGTTAATATTAAATTTGTTGGAATATTTAGCCAGCTCAAAGAATACTCCCGTTACAGATGATAAAACAAGCTTAGATTGGTGGCAAACTGCAGTATTCTACCAAATCTATCCAAGATCATTTATAGATAGCAATGGTGATGGCATAGGAGATCTTAAAGGTAAGTTATATTATTTCATTAATCTTAGAGAAAAAAAAACGTAAATATAATAATTGGTTGCTAGCCTGTTAAGTAGTAGATTAAGCAAATTACACGTTCTATATATGTATATAGAAGTATTAAATAAAAAAAAAATGAATCGATTTCTTTTAAGAGTTATATAGATGTTTTAACATGAATTTAACGAAGCATATAATTTTTTTAATTAACTGGATAAAGTTAAGTTTGAACGTTTATGAGCTACTAAAATATTATTTTATAGTATTCACAATTTTTAAATAGCCAATAAAATGTTCAAAAACTTTATTTCTAGTATACATTTCAATTATATTATTATTTTGGTTTAAATTTAGTATAAAGCCTTAAAAAAAATAATATTCAATATGTTTCATAATTTAATTAAAATTATGTTTTTGTTTTTTTACAGAACAATTTAAGGTTTTGGTTAGATCTTGGTATAGATGGGTACAGAGTAGATGCTGTACCGTTTTTATTTGAGGATCTGCAATTTTTAGATGAGATCAGGAAACCAGAAGAACTTGCTAAAAAGGAAAAAAATACTTATGAACAATATTATCATCCCTACACAATGGATTTACCAGAAACATATCAAATGATTAGTCAGTTTAGGGACGTGTTAGAAGAATATAAGCTGAAAGATGGAAAAACCAGGTAAATAAGGTATACATTAATTATTTAGCCATATAATTATTAACATTATATTCTTAAGAAAAGTTTATTATATGTATGTTCTAACACTTTTGAAAAAATACCATAAATTATATTCATCTGTAATAAAAATTAAATTTCATAAAACATCCAACAATTTTTCTGATTTATTTTTAAAATAACACATTCTCAAACTTAAAATAGTGTACCTAAATTCTGTTACCGATTATTTTAGACTGAATAATATTATGTTTTATGTATAATATTTCACTTAAACATTTGAACCTTTATTCTTATTTATTCTATTTTTAGAAAACTTTTTACATTTTCAAATATTAATAGGACGTATTTGGTTGTTCCCATATTTTAAATGTATAACATACCTAGCGCCCTGTATAATATATCTCTAAAGCTTATCCTCCGTGAACCTATGTTTTTATATAATCTCATAATAACACTAATAATTATGGGTGATAAATGTTTGGATGGAACAACATTTAAAGTTCTTCTAATCAGTATTTCAACATATTTTAGATATTTTATAAAAATGTATTTCTTCTTAAAATTTTCTTAAACTTGCCTATATAAAATCCCTAAACTGTATTATATTACAGTATATTATATTATATTTATTAAATTTTTTTGAAATTTAGTATTATTGCTTGGGAATTAGTTGAATGCATGATCTCTACTCCATAGAAATATCTACAAATATTTAAAAAAAATTTTGTTATGGATATCTTTTTATCCTTATTTACTAAATAAAATATTAAATGTAAAAACAAATTATTATTGTGTATTTATTTTATCTTATATTTAAGTATAAAATCTTCTTTTTTAATATTATTTTTTTAAAAATGGTCTTATAAAATATGTTATTTCTTGACTTTTAAACGTTTTAAATTTACATAGTATTATATAGGAGAGTACTTACGAGTATATGTTTCTATTGTGAACAAATTTATAATATAGTTATGTATTTTTTGTCTTTAGATCACTATTGTTACTACAACATACATTTAGTGGTATTTCATCACTTAAATTTGTCGAATTGTTATACCTATTTATTTAAAGATAATATTTAATTGCTTTTTTTCTTACCATTTAGACATTTACTAAAGACAAGTGGATTTACGATGAGACCTAAATTCGCCATGGTTTTGTGTAACAAAAAACATTCATTGGTTTTGTCGTCGACTTCATCATCAACCTCGTTGATATCCTCGTCTTCGTTGGTATTTCCGGTGACAATGTTTATGATCGCCTTGGGTTACAGTTTTATTTTATTTTAATTATTTGAGTGAATAGTGATCGATACTATATTACCTAAATATTATAAATGTTATAATCAATACCTATCATTCGAAATGATTAGTTGTTCATGTTAGTAACATAACAAGGTCTTTCGTTGGTTATATTATACAATTTTACCTATAGGCTATAATTTAGGATATTATTATACTTAAAAAACGACAATGGTACGCCCTGGTTATAGTTTCATATTTTTTATATAAGTTCATGGTGTGTATGAATATAGTGATAATGAGAGGCTATCTACATAAGCAATATTTATTTATTTTACGATTTTGTACTAAATGTTGTGTTAATTATATATCATTAATCGTAATCATAAACTTACATTGCACAAAAAAAATATCGTTTTTTTAAGATAAATGGTTCTTCTTATACTTTCGAGTATAAGTAAATAATAGTAATTAATTTATTCTCTTATTTTAAATGATCTATTATACATTAATGATTAAATCATAAATAGTTAACAGGTTTTTATAATATATTTTAAATGATATTGGATATTATGAGGTGTGTGTATATTAGGCTGCCTATCTTCCAATTTTCGGGAAAAATGTGTTATTTACCAAAATTAATTAATATTACTAATGTTTTGTTTTTTTTATTATACTTAAATAAAATAAATGTATCATGATTAAAAAAAAAAAAGTAATTAAAAAAAGTTTGCGATTTTTTTTGTAGTTGACACCAATTGTAATTTTTACATTACTTTGGAATTTAATATCATGGGGTAAAAATATTTTATTTCTTGCTCCTGTCTAAAATTGTTTTTATATACTTATTTTTTTTCTAAAATATTTAATATTAAATGTTCGTTTCCAAAATTATTATTCTTTAATAAACAAAAATTTAAATAAATTAACCAAATGAAAAAAGAAGAGGGCAACATGTTATCTATAATATTGTGTATGTTTATAATCTAAATTCTAAGTTATTGATCCACAGCCTTTGTCAACAAAATAAAATATTTGTCTTTACTATATAATAAAATTTAATTTTTGTTATTTAAGGTTTGTCTATGATTACAGAAATTTCTATTTATTTAAATATTACTATTATAGCCATCTACTTTGTTGTCAAAAATTGGGTTAATTTGATTTAATTATGAAATGAGATTGTAACAATAATTATTTCTAATATGCATAATATATGAAAATTTACTCATTAGAGTGGCTTTTAATAAAATTAATAATTATAATTTAGATACATCTAATCATTATAACTAGTGTTGACAAGTTAGTCAATAAATTGTAACCATATACAAGTAACTGAAAAATCCTAAAAATAAAAATATATTATTTTCATTAAACCATATTATTATTATTTTAAGCACAAATTTTTTCAATATAGGTACATATTGTAATGAATTATTCATATTTAATG